GGCGATGTAGCCACAGGCCTCAGGGGAGCTGGTGCTGTAGATCCCGACTGCCAGGCCCCTGGGGTGGGGAAGAGCAGCAGCGTGAGGCCAGGGGCCCCGAGGAGATGCCCCATCAGCCCAGCCGCACCCGCTCCCATCCCACCTGCTCCAGAGCCACTCAGCCACCTGCCCAAGGCCCCCCCATGATGGCCCCGAAGTCAGCGATGACCCACTCGGGGCTGTTGGAGCCCAGGATTGCGACGCCGTGGAAGCGCTCCAGGCCCAGCTGGGGACAGCAGAGAGGGGTCAGGTCCACCTCCACACACCCGGGACAGGACCCAACCACACCTGACCCCGCTGCAGCCTGGCACTCCTCAGCCCCGTGCCCGCGGCGCCCGCTCACCTTCAGGAAGCCCTTGGCGGCGGGGCCGGCCCGCCGCCGGCGCCGGCGGCGCTCCCACGTCTGCCCCCGCTTGTAGGCCAGGGCGGGCCGGTCCCCGTGGCGCTCCACCGCCGCCTGGAACAGCTGGTGCACGGTGATGGGGGGCAAGGCGCCGGGGTCCTCAGGGTCCAGGCGCAGCCGCACCGCCCTGTCCGCACGTGTGGTGAACAGGGTCTCCGCCGGCGCCACGGGACCGCTGCAGCCCCCTGTGGGCAAGAGGGCAGGGTGGTCGTGGGCACCTGGCGCTGCACATGCCCCCGAGGGTCGGGCCGTTTGCCAGGACGGGGGACGGGGTCTGCACGCCAGGGCTGGCTCCCTGAACGCGGCTCTCACCTGTGACTGGTGTCAGGATGGCTGGGGCGGGGGCTGCCTGCCCGCTCTCCCCCCGGCACTGGGGCGACCCCCAGCAATAGGCCTGGGCAGGCGGCAGGTTCGGAGGGGGCTCTTCTGCTTGGGCCGACGGGCGCCCGCTCCCTGCATCCGGCTCCTGCACGGCCATCCCAGGCTGGCCCCCAGGTGCCAGCGCGCAGCCAGGTCCAGCCATGCCCAGGCCATCGGCGCTGGTGATGGTCAGCGGCTGTGCAGCTCCCTCTGGCTCCCTGCTGCATGGGGAGAGACCAGGGCTGGGGAGAGACCGGGGCAGGGCCCACCCCGCATGCTGCCCAGCACCCCTGAGCCCTCCCCTGCCCATGAGTGTCCTGTCCGAGGGCCCCTCCCAGGGAGCTCCCCCAGCCCCAGCCCCAGCCCTGCCCCGGCTCCTCCAGGGCTCGCTGGGGCCAGGCCTGCCAGCACCGGGGCTGGGACCCTCCCCGCAGCGAGGGCAGGGCAGGAGCCAGTGTGTCTCTGCCCAGCTGCCCCGGCCCCGCCACAGCCCTTCTGTCCCAGGGGTCAGCGCGGTGCCCAGGGCAGCCCCTGCCCCACCTGTGCACCCGGCGTGCTCGCTCACCTGCGGGGCACCGGCTGGGTGCTGAGGGGCACGGTGACCAATTGAGCCATGCCTGGCTCCTCAGCCCAGGTCCCACGCTCCGGCTCGCCACTCCCTGTGGGGACAGGCACGAGAACCACGTGGGCAGCCATCCCCACGTGCACCCCTCCCTCAGCTGGGGGAGAGCAGCAGGAGGGCCCAGCACGGCTGTCTCCTCTCCTGGTCTCAGGGCAGACAGGGATCAGGGTCGCGCCCCGTCCTACCCCTCACCCACTGCTCAGTGCCTGGGGACTGGACAGGGGCGCACGCAATCCACTGCCCGCCTGGCTGGCAACAGGCAGGTCCGATGCTGCTGCCTGCCTGCACACGCTTCCTGGCAGCCCGCTCCGGCCTGTCCAGGGGGACCAACACTGCTGCTGGGAACAGCCCTGAGCAGGCTGGAGGGGATGTATAATGGGTTGAGCTGGTGACGGGGGCTTTAAACTAAGTGCTACGGGAGAGAGAACCCACCAGGCATGGGGCCGGTGTTGGGGGACGCAGGTCCCTGGGGGAATATGGGAGGTGCTGGGTGCTGCGGGTGCACTGCGCATGGAGGGCTGGGTGCTGAGAGAAGATGCCATACCATGGAGAAGGGCTGGGGAACTGCAGTGGGGCAGAGATGCAAGAGGGAACCCGGCAGGGCAGGCTGCAACGTGTGTCCTGCATGTGGATGCAAAGGCAAGGAATAGGGAACAGGCAGGAGGAACTGGACATCCTGCTCTGTACAACTGTGATGTTGTGGGTGTTACAGAAACCTGGCAGGACTGCTCTGTACCTGCAATATCGGCACCGAGGGGCACAGCCCGGGAAGCAGCTTGCTCCACAAGGACGTGCTGCGGCCTGCTGCAGCAAGGAGATTCAGGCTTGGTACTTGCTGTAGAGAGCAGCGATCCTGGGTGCACCTGGGCAGACAGAGGGGCGAGAAGGTAGCCACGGCCAGGACCCGTCCCCGAGAAGGAGCCACGGGGCTCTGCTTTTGGGGCACACGGCAGAAGGCGGCCAGGCTGTCGGAGGCACGGGAGCTGCATGGGCTGCTCCTGCACGCCCCCCGACCCGCTCCGGCAGCCCCTGCTGCCCTGGCGCCCGGGGCAGGGGGTGGAGATGGGGAGGCAGAGGCTGCAGGGGACCTGGCTCCTCACCTGCGGCTGGTGGTCTGGGCTGCACCTACCCCTCGCTGGCTGGCTCCGTCCACCGCTCTGCACCAGGCCAGCTCCCCAGGGAGCGGAGACTTTTGGTGGTTCAGGACCTGGCCCTTTGCCTGAGCATTACACTGGGCCCCAATCAACAGCCACCTCCACGCACCGCTCCACCTCCTCAGCCCCCCTGACTGATCCGAGGGCCGGGCATCAGGCTGCAGCCCAGCCCAGCCGTGGGCCACCTGCCCAGGGGAGAACAGCTGCCTGCAACAGTGCTGCCGTTTCACATCTGCTGTGGACACGGCAGCGCCCCCGCGGCCTGCGCCCAGGCCTGGGAGCATGGGGCTGCGGGTCAGGAGCAAGGGGCACCAGCAGAGCCGGGGGCGGTGGCAGGGCAGGGATGGCCGGTGGGGGAGACGCTGCAGGCAGGATGGAGGTCCGCAGCACCCGCTCACCCTCCCTGGGCCCTGCCTGCTGCTGCGCTGTCCTGTGCCCTCCCTGCCTGCGAGGGCTCCCGGGTACCGCGTGGGGCCATCTGTGCCCCCAGCTCCTACAATGCCTCCAAGGCCCCTTCCTGGTGGCGTAGCAGCCAGTTCAGAGCCCTGGCCCGCGCACGTGCAGTTAAGGTTGCTTTTCCCATGTGAGTGACTCTGCACCTGTCAATGCTGAGGTTCAGCTGAACGGTGAATGAAACGAGGCCCAGCACAGAGCCCTGGGAGACCCCACCTTGACCTTCATCCATCCTGAAAAGTGCCCCTTCTGCCTTACCCGTGTGCCCTGCCCTGCCCGGTGCCCATCTTTCAATCCAGGAGAGAACCCGGAGACCCTGTCCACTTGCGGGGGCAGAAGTGAGACTCGCTGCTCCGTCGCTCTCAGCATCTTCTCGGGAGCCTTGGGAAGATCGTGTGCCCTGGCACACTCCCCAGGCCTCTGCCACAGAGCCCGTGTGCAGCGCTGGGCTACGTCCTCGTGCAGCAGGTCTGCCGGTTCACATCTGCCCTGGCTGGGCTCACATGCCCCCAGGGCTGGTGACCCTTTTCTTGCCTGCCAGGGGCAGGGGGTCAGACTCGGTGGCCCACAGAGGTCCCCTCCAACGCTGGAATTGATGGATCAGAGTTACTCCAGAGCTCTTGGGCGAATGCCGTCGGTCCTGGCACCTTTCTGAGGTTTAATTTACCAAGTGGTTCCAAAACCTTCTCTCACGTCACTTCAGTTTCATCTGACTCCTCAGATCTGATGTGATCCAACGTGCCTGCAGAGCTGCTGGCCATTATCTTTGAAAACATGTGCCGATTAGGAGAACAGCTGGAAACGGGCAGATACTGCCCATCTTGAAGCCAGATCCAGGGAACTGCAGAATCGCAAGACCGTCTGCGGTCAAGGCTGATGCCAGGAATTCATTTAGCCCCTGCTTCCCTTTTTCGTGTCCTTGTGATGAAGGTCCCTTCCGACCCGAGTACTTAGCAGAATTCAGAGATTTGCAGGAATCTGACAGGGCTGCGCCATGAGTGCTTCTGCTACGGCCTCAAACTCACAACCTCTGGCTCTTAACCGCGTGCCTTCGTGCCCACGTCACCCCAGCCCCGCTGCTTCTCTGCTGTGGCCCCATGAGCCACGGGGGTGCCTTTTAACCACACAAATCACAGGATCCTGGAGCCGCGGGGCTGGCAGGGACCCCCAGAGGTCATCTCATCCAGCCCCTGCCTGAGGCAGGACCCGCTCTACCCGAACCATCCTACACAATCCATAATCTAGCGTAAGACTGACCTCCACCCTGACCCACCGCAGACCTAGCAGCTGGCCCTGCCACAGGGAAAGCAGGGGAGCCGCGGCAGCCAGCGTGCTGGTGCTATGACGTGCTGTCAACAGACGGTCGAGAGATCAGGGTGGAGGGCCAGGCCCCCGCTACAGAGGAAGACAACCCCCCCACAGCAAGTACCAACATCACCACAGGGTAAAATCCCTTCCTGGCCTCCAGCATGGTGTCGGTCTGACCCAGGCACCGTGTGCAGCCTGGGCCGCAGCGGCCTCTGAAGGAAGGTTGCAAACACCGACACCCGCAGCAGAAAGGGGGACGGGGCAACCAGCAACCCCTGGTCATTAAATGGCCCCGCAGATTCGGTGCTCCTGCTGCAGTTACAACACTTAGAAATACTGGGTTCTAATATTCTGCAGGAGGCTCGTGCAGGCAGAGCCCCCACACCTCAGTGCAGGACCCAGGCGTCCAAGACCATCCCGAGCCAGGACATAGCCCAAGGCCGCCTGGCCACCTGCGCTCCTCGCGCCCGCCCCCTGCCGCCCCCACACACTGCCAGGAGCCCACACACGAGGCACTGCTTCTCCCTGGGGGTTATGGTCCCTGGCAGGGCCAGGCCAAGCTGCCCCCACCTGGCCCCAGCCCCTGCCCGGCTGCAGCGCTGGAGGGGAGGGAAGGGCAGGCTGGGCTGGGCTCAGGGTAGGCAGGCTGCAGGCAGGCTCCCTGGGCCCTGGAGAGGCTGGAGGCTGGGGCAGCGCCCGGAGGTGCAGAGAGAGCGGGAACATGGGCGCAGAGCGCAGGTATCTTGGAGTCCACGCCACAGTACGCCCACGGCCCTCCCTGCGGGACCCATCCTGCCGGGACGCTGGGGGCAGGCAGGGCCCGGAGGTGTCCCCACCTTCAGAGTGAGCAGCATGGACAGGAACTTCCTGCCGTCGCCGACCAGCATCGCGTTGCTGACGATCGGCACCTCCCTCTTCACTGCGTCCTCGATGGGCACCGGGGCGATGTTCTTCCCGCCCGCCGTGATCACCAGCTCTGCAACCGGCGCCGCGTCACGGGGCGGGAGGGCAGAGCCGTGGCAGGGGGAAGCCCCCGACAAAGGCAGTGAGGGTGAGGGTGGCAGGGGGCAGCGACAGAACACAGCAGGGCGATGCCTCCTCTGCCAGCCCTCTGCACCAGGCCCTCCAGCCCCGCACCACCCCTGCCCCTCGCACGCACACCCACCCACCCCAGTGTGC